CAACAAGACAGAAAATAACAAATGCTGGCAAGGATGTGGAGAGATTGGGACTCTCATACACTGCTGGTGGGACCGTAAAATGGTACAACTACTGTGGAAAGCAGTATGGTGATTCCTTAAAAAGTTGGAAATAGAAATACCATTTGACCCAGCCATTCCATTACTAGGTATATATCCTAAAGAAGTGTGAACCATGACAAGAACCAACATATGCACACATATGTTCACCGTAGCACTATTTACAATACCCAAAAGATGGAAAAACCTAGATGTCCATCAACTGAGGAATGGATAACCAGATGATGGTACATAAACACAATGGAATACTATGCAACCCTAAAGAATAGTCTAGAATCTGCAAAACACCACATAATGTGGGGGAACTTGGAGGACAGTATGCTGAGTGAAGTAAGTCAATCACAGAAGGACAAATACTGTGTTAATCCGTTATTGTAAAAGTCAAGGAAAGGTTTAGATATAGAAGGAAATTTTCTTTGTTGGTTACCAGGGGTGGGAGGGTAGGGTAGGGAACTCTGCTAGATAGGTAGAGATAAGTATTGATTTGGGTAAAAAGAAGGGCAATGTACCAAATGTAAATGATCAACATGGTGCCACTGAGGAAGAGGAAGACATAGAGTGGTACGTGGGAGGTGCAGACAATAAAGATGAACCCTTCTGCACATACAGTACTGAGTTGTTAGTGAAGCAAACACGGGTATATGGGTGGATAGATGGGTGGACAGGCTGAATTATTAGGTATGTCTATGCAGCAGGGAGTATACCCAAGACCATGTATAGGGTTAGCAGACAATGGTTCTACAAGTGTTTTTTATGTTCTGTAAGAATTCCAGGTGTATAGTAGAACTGACAAAGGACAAGGTTGTAATCACTTCTTGGTCACATCCAGCTACCTAGAGGGAGTGAGTAGCTGAACCTGTGGGCTTGGGACCATAGTCGCAGGGACATCAAGTTCAATTGGCATAACATACTACACAAGACATTGTTCCACCTCCTACTTTGGCAAGTAGCGACTGGGATCTTAAAAGCTTGCAAGCAGCCATCTAGATGCAACGATGGTTCTCTCCTCGTCCAGAGCAAAGAAGAATGAAGAAAACCAAAGATTCATGGAAACAATTAGTCCTCATGACTGGTACACCAGGCGATCCTCAGCCTATACAACTATGAGGGCAGAAGAACTAGATGATGCCAGCTACCCGTCAACCACTCAGAGGGGGATCTATGTAGGAGATCCTGGATAGAGAGGGAGAACAATGTGGAGCAAAACTCAAATGAAGTGGGGGGAAAGGGGGGTGGACCAGATTTGCTGGTCTGATAGAGCCTGGTGGAACCACTGAGACTATAGTCCCTAGCTGCCTGTCAGGTCTGGAATTGAACCCACACCTGTGGCTTCCAGCCAAACAAAGGACAGACATATGAGTTGAACATGTACCTGAGGTAGATACACTCCTTGGAGAGAACAATCATGGGAGAAAGAAGGGCTGTTTATGCACAGGGAGCCAGTTCAGGGGGCAGGAGTGCATGGAGGGATGGACACAGGGAAGAGGTAACTATTGGGAGGAAGTGGGAGGGGAGCTGTTGCATTGTGGTAAATTGTAGTCAATGTCATGAGACAACGTGTGTGTGAACTGCTGTATGGAAAGTGAATTTTCTCTGTAAACTTTCACCCAAATCACAATTAAAACAAAGAAACCTTATGGACAGTTCTACTCTAACCTATAAGGTCTCTATGAGCAGGAATAAACTTGATGGTAATGGGTTTTAATAAAAGAATGTATTTTATAATTTAGAAAATAAGAATTTTTTTAAAAAAAGACTCATAAGCCACCTTTTTAAAAAACAAAAAAAGCTGAATGCATTCAGGTCTCAGTAGCTCTCTGTGCATACTGTATATTAGGACTTGGTGAACTTGAGGACTGAAAGGATTTCTCGGCCTGCTTGCCTGGAAAGTGCAGTGGTGCCTTGTAGACCTTTTGCCTTCATTGTTTTCAAAATTTCTTCTAAAATAAAAATGAAAACAAACTGTAAAATCCCACTAAATCATCTGGTGAAGTATGTATGATCATTAAACAGCTTAATACAATGATAAACACAGACTTTTTATAAATTATCTTCATCTGGCAAAACAATGTATAACAAGAAACTTTCTATTAAATGAACTTGGACTTCAGACAGACTGGAGGATTTTATCTTCAAGATGTCGCTGAGCATTCTAATCAGTGAATGGCCTACTCTGGATTCAACAACAAAAAAGTAACACTTCTTATTATTACAGCAAGTTTTCTAATTGCTTGTCTCCAATCTCTGCCCTCTCTTCTTCCTTTTGGAAGAAAAATGTCAGTGATGGACTGGAAAAACGGACCTATTTTCTATACACAGTGATAGTAAAAGAAGTAGCTTATTTCTTTGAAGAGTATTTAACAAAGAAAACCCTTCTTGTTATATATAAACAAAACTAGAAAAAGTGAACCAAGAAAATGGAGTTACCAAAAGAAACTAGTAATCATGATGTGATTTGCGGGTCTGAGGACATAAGGCATAAAGATGTGCAGAAAAAGAAAACAAAGATTGGTCAATTTAGTTAGGAAAGTAATCTGAAAATCAAGATATACAAAGACATAAGATGAATCAGCTTTCATAATAAAACTTCAGATGAAAGAAAATGTAGCAGAATGGGTAGGGTATAGAGATGAGAGTGAAGGGAAAATCCACAGTATTGAAGGTGAAGTAATCAGAAGAAGAAATTAAGAGATTTTGTATTTGAGTATTAGTTTATGAACAGAGGAAAAACTTACAAAAATAAATAAATAAATAAAATTACTTTTTAATGCCAGAAAAACATACTTCAAAAATCTCTCTCTTTCAACATGAATCCTGTATTTGTTATTAGCTGTTGTCAGTCATTAAATTCATTAACAGTCCAGGTTACTTTATAAATTAAAGTCTTCTGCATTATTAACTTTTGGTTTCAGCAAAATAAATAGTAAAAGATAAACTGATATGTATTACCTGGATTGTTTTCTTTAATGGTAACTAGATAGAACAGTCCTTGTGGTGAAAGTAGATCTGCAACCAATGGAAAGAATCTGTCCATGACTTCTCGACCATTTCTGCCACCAGCCCAAGCTGCTTCTATTCCATTACTTCCCACCTATGACCAATTAGAGAGTGTTTTGTTTTTTTTTAAATGAAGTTACATTTAGAATAATAAACTGAATCTTTTTGACAAGTAATATTCAGTAAACAAATATATATTTTCAATCTCACTACTGACGAAATGCCACATAAATTAGAAAACAAGCACGAATCCTAACTACCTAGCCTATGTGACCTTGGGCAAGTTAATAATCTTTCTCACTGTTTTCTCCCTTACCTGGAAAATTAGAGAAATAATACCAAAAAATATTTTTAAATCACTGTTAAGAATAAATGAAGTATATTTAGAGTTTTGAGAATAGTCCCCTGTATGTAGTGTAATAATAGTAATACAACTATTATTACAATGTTTAAATTGTGTGAGGGGCAATGGTTAAAGAATATAGAATTAGAAAGAAATTAGAAGCGAAAGCTTATTTTATCAGAGGTCTACTTTCCATGAAGTTTCAACATGTCCCATTGCATCTGGCTCTTTTCTAGATTATTTAAAGAATAAATCACATAGACCTTTTTTATTTTTTTTTTTTAAAAAAAAACCCATTTATTATATAAAGGCACACTGAAGCACTTTTTCCTAAAACAATCTAATTATATTCTAGAAAGGAAACCCATGAGTTTATAAAGTAATAGAAATCTTTACCCTTATATATTGCTTTCACAAAGAATATTTTTAATAAATCACTCAAAGATTACTTTAACACTGACACAATTATTTTCTATTTCCCTTTATGTGTTTTATCCACTTTTCTTTTTAGTTTAAATTATATAAAATCATGCCTTCTGCTTTTATTCATTTAACATGGCATAATTTTCCCATTAAATTTCTTTATACCTACAACCATATGCATATATAAATTTATAAGGGAGATATATTCATAAACATGCTCTTATAAAGTTGCTATTTTTTTCCCCTCTTAAGTGTTTTATATATCTGTCTCTCCACCTTATCTCCCCTTCCTCACACACACACACACACACACACACACACCCTTTTCCTTTTTTGTCAATGTTTTCCAAAGATAGGATAATACTCTACATTCTTAGCTGTACCTTGCTTTTTTTCACTCAGCAGTACCTTATGCAAATCTCTTCATATGATCTGGTATAGCTCTAATTCCTTGTTTAAGGGTTGCATATTTTATGGTGGGAAAGTACCAAAGTTATTCACTACTGTGTCCATTTGCTTAATTTACTTAGTATCTATTTCGTTATTCTTATACCTATCATAAACTTATCAATACAACTTTTTACAGAGTTAATCATATTAGGAAATTTATCAGTTCCATTTTTCTTCAAGACTTTCCCTTTGAGATATCCCTTTGTTGGTACCTCTAGACTTCCCTGTGCTTTTCTCCTAAGTTGAATTCCCTCTTCTCCTGAGTCTTGTCTCCCTCTTTCTTAGTTTACTCCTTTATTTTGATGGAGCCCATTCTCTAGATGTTTCATCAGGTAAAATGATCTTTTGACAGAATATGCGGTGATGACAGTCTTTGCCAAACATCTCTTTGTCACTTTGCTTCAATCTGGACTAGGAACCCTCTGTGCTGAACCCAGTTTATATTCCTCCTCTGGGATGCTAAGCCTGGCACCAACAACATTTGTATAGGCCATAGGTGGAGGTTTCAATCCTTGTGAAGAAAGCTCACTGAATTCCGTCACCATTTTGTGGCAGGAATCCTGTTGCGGTGGTCTTCTGCTTACCTGCTAGCCAGCTTCAGTGCTGTGCTTGCTCCTGATCCCTCACAGATCACAGGCACAAACCAACAACAACTTACTTCATATTTCTATATGTACTAGTAAGTTTGAACATCTTTTCATACACACAAACTCCTATTATTTGTATTTCTACTGGATCTGTTCTCCAAGGCTCTTACCTTTTACTTCCATAGTTTTTTTTATTGTCAGGCTCCGCACATTGAAACAGTTCTTTCACTTGGTTTCCAGACCACTGATACAGGTCTTGACAGTTTGACTACTTCACTTTAAATATATTTCCTAATGTTTCACTTTGTAAAACATGTTTTTAAACTCCAGGAAATCTTTGCTGTGCTGCACTTTGATTCTGCTCTCCAGCTAATTAATTGCTTAGCTCACGGGAGAAGATTTACGGCACTAGCTCTCTTTGTTGGTATTACAACAACCCAAGGCATACACTCAATCACCATAGGTCCCAGCAGCTGCAAAGCTAAGGAGAAGCACATAGCTTAGTGCTAGAAATGTAGGAGAAAGGAAGGCCATTCAGGTTACCATGTTGTAAAATCCCGTCTTCTCATTCACTAGTCTTCCCAGTTTTTAAACATGATATACCATGATTTACTTACCTGTTTTTCTTCTGTTACATATATAGGTTCACATTATTTGCCATCATAAATAATGATGCAATGAACAGATTTTTGTGAATTTCCACTTTCATTGTATTGTTGAATGATTTTCTTAAATTAGCTCTCAAGGACTCAGATGACTGAACTGAAACATTTTTATTACTCTTGATATATATTCCCATAATGTTTTCCTAAAGAGTTTTATCAAGTTCCATTCCCCTCAACTGTTTTTGACCTTATGACAATGGTTTCCTGACACATGACAATGAGTTTATATGTGAGCAGGGTAACAGCTTCTTTCTGGTTTAATTGCCATTAGGAGTAACAGCAACTACAGGAATGTTTCCCATCCTGGTGGAGGTAAATGTGACATTTATCAGTCTTGCCAAAATATGATCATCAAAGAATAAAATAGGTACAGTAATTAAAAGGAAAGCGACCCTTAACGCATTATTAAATTTTGTCTGTCTTGACTATTTATTCTTCCTTAAAAATTGGGAAATGGTTAATATAGTTTACTGCATTACTGAGATTTCTTTTAACCATGAATTTCAAGATTATTTTCTCTAGTGGAAATAAGAATTGGTTCCCTTCTCCCACTGTCTGGTAATATCTATGAAAGAAGGAAATCTGTTCTAAGATGAAATGGGAGAGTGAGAGACGTTCAGAAAGCATTTCAATTGAACTTAAGGTTGGTTAAGAATATTTGTTTCACAAATTTGTCAATCATGATAAAAGATGTGTGTGTTTTTGAGTGTACGTATGTGTGTGCCAAGAATTTAAACACCAATGCCCTGATTTGGATGGGATTTCTAAGATACATATGGGTCACAGTTTGTAATTCTATTAGTTTTAAGTTTCTTTCTTTTGTCTACCTAGTACCCAATTACTGACAATTAGGAGCAGTTTGTGTAGTAGTAGCTATGGCCTGACCAATGCCTTATGAAGTTCATTTGATGTTAGAAATAAAATAGCCAAAAATATTTATAGTGAAATTTTGATACATGTCTTACCTCTTCAGGTGGAGTCACTACATAGGGGGGATTAAATACCAGAAGGTCAACTTTTTCCTTCAACCTTGGTAGCAAGCCTTTGACCTAAATGTATATAATAATAATAAGAAGAATTTTAAGACAGACTCTGAACAAAATAAATAAGAATATATATAATGTATATGTAAATTTTTAAATAGTCTCTTATGTTTTTAAAAGACTATATTAGAGGACAACACCTGTGGACAGAAATAGAGATAAACATTTTTATATTTTCCTCTAGATAAAGATTATAAACTATAAATTATACATTTTATCATGTTATAATTATTTTTAAGATTTTTATAGATATCAGAAATTTTATAGATTATAAGCTATTAATGAAACTATCAGAATGAATAAAATTGATTAGCAAATACTGTTCTTCAAAAGTCATTATGCTCCCACTCTGGGTTCACTTTCAGAAGCTAAATAAGGCAAGCTCTAATTTTATAAAAAATGTTCTGCACAGATTCGGACACAACTTTAAAACTCTAACTGCCAATTTAAACATATTTTCAGTAACCAAGAGAAATGTTTTATGAGATGACACAAAATATATCTGAATGACAGAAAATGTTCGATTTGTTTTTCTGTTTTTTCCCTTTCTACTTCTACTGCTTTCCCTTGTGGGAGGCTTTATTTTAGGGCCGGGGCCTGAGGTAGGCAGGTGTGGGGCTAGGGGTTGGTTTCACTTGGGGGTGTCTCTATTTTAAGGATGGGGGGCCCGAGGTAGGCAGAAGCAGGGCTTGGAGCTGCTTTGCTTGGGGGTGGCTCTATTTTAAGGCCAGGGACTGAGGTGGGGGAGGTACAGAGTGGTTAGGAACAACTAAGGAGATGAAGTTGTCTGTCAGTTTGTCATCCTATGATGGCTTACATGTTGTTGTGAGGCTGGAGTCTACACCACTGGTGTTACAAAATGCCAGCAGGGTTACCCATGGTGGACAGGTTTCAGTGGCACTTCTGGGCTAGACAGACTCGGAAGAAGGAAGAGGCCATCCACTTCTCAAACAATTGACCAGTAAAAACTTTATGAATGGCAATGAAACACTGTCTGATATGCCATGATATATGCTATGCTATGATATGATATGATGGATGGAGAAAAGTTTGAAGTTGTCAAGGGCTTCACATTACTTGGTTTTACAATCAACACCAATGGAAGAAGCAGTCAAGACATCAGATGACATATTGCATGGGGCAACTCTGATGCAAAAGATCTCTTTCACCAGGTTTGCTGGTCTGATAGAGCCTGGTGGAACCACTGAGACTATGCCCCCTCGCTGCCCTTCAGGTCTGGAATTGAACCCACACCTGTGGTTTCCAGCCAAACAAAAGACAGGCATGAGTTGAACATTTACCTGAGATAGATACACTCCTAGAGAGAACAATCATGGGAGAAAGAAAGGCTGTTTATGTGCAGGGAGACAGCTCAGGGGGCAGGAGTACATAGAAGGATGGACACAGGAAAGAGATAACTATTGGGAGGAAGTGGGAGGGGAGCTGTTGCATTGTGGTAAATTGTAGTCAATATCATGAGACAAAGTGTATGTGAACTGCTGTATGGAAAATGAATTTGCTCTGTAAATTTTCACCCAAATCACAATTAAACAAACAAAAAAACAAAAACTCTTTCAAGTGTTGAAGAGCAAAGATGTCTCCTTGAAGACTAAGGTGTGCCTGACCCAAGCCATGGTATTTTCAGTCACCTCTTATGCATGTGAGAGCTGGACAATGAATAAGGAAAACTGAAGAAGAGTTGATGCTTTTGAGTTGCAGTGCTGGAGAAGAATGTTAAGAGTACCATGGACTGCTAAAAGACTAACAAATCTGTCCTGGAAGAAGTGCAGGTGGAATGCTCCTTGGAAGTGAGAATGGCCAGGCTTCGTCTCACCTACTTTGGTCATGTTGTTAGAAGGAATCATTCCCTGGAGAAGGATATCATGCTTGGTAAAGTGAGGGTCAACAGAACAGGTGAAGACCCTCAACAACATGGACTGACACAGTGCGACAACAATGGGTTCAGGTATAGCAAGGATTATGAAGCTGGCACAGGACTGGGCAGTGTCTCATTCTGTGGTCTATGGGGTCACTATGAGTCAGAGATGACTCTATGGTGCCTAATATCAACAACAACAACAACTTCTTCAGTTGGGGTCTTTTGATGGGTGATACAAATGGTTAAGCAGTCACCAGTAGTCAAAAGACTGCCAGCTCAAACTCACCCTGAAGATCCTCAGAAGACAGGCCTGGTGAAAATTCACAGCCTTGAAAACTCTATGGCACACAATTCTATTCTACACACATGAGGTGCTGATTAGTTAGAACCAACTGAATGGCGACTAAGAACCACTTCTTTAATTACTTATAAATATATTGTCTGAAAAAAATTAGATATCAAACAAAAAAAAGGTGAAAATATGGTTGTTTGCCCCTTTTAAAATTTTCAAACTGGATATAATTTTCTGTGGAACAACAAGAAAAATGTTTTGTTTTTTAAAGAAAGCATATTTAGAGCAAAATGCCATTTAAAGTAGTCATCTGACTGTATTAAATAACCAAATATTTAAAAAACCATTGTTTTGGTTCTCTTGTGCTGCTATAACAGAACATACCACAAATATATGGCTTTACCAAACAGGGATTTATTCTCTTATAGTTTAGGAGGCTAGAATTCCAAATTCAGAGTGCCAGCTCTAGGCGCTGGGTGAAGGCCTCTTGACCTTGGGCTTCAACTCTGCCTCTTGCGCCCAGCCCAGTGGAGCTGGAGGCTTCTCTTAACTAGGGCAGCTGCTGGCTGCTGAGGCTGACAAGTCCAAGGTCGGCAAGTAAAATGACACGGTCCCAAGATTATCAAGCAACGTGGCAGGCCACTAGTTCAAGTCCAAAAACAGTCCCAAGATCAGCAGGCAACATGGCAAGCCACTGAGATGAAGACTCAGCCAAATGCAGGATCCAGATATGCCCAAAACGCGAGACCTTCCTCAAAGCTTCCTCATATATACTGGAGACAGACCATAACTGTAAGGCAGCTAGCTATTCAGCTGCTCAGAGTAGATTCCACCATGGAGTTGATTACCAGTCTCATCATGGGGAATCACTACATCTAGCTGCCCAGCCACTCAAAGCCAGGTTGAGCTAAGCTGACACATAACTTTACCACAATTATTGTTTATATCAACCTATGCCTACCTAGGCATAGTAAAGTGAAAACATGATATCTGGGTGAGTATTCTCCCCAAGAGCATTTACTTCAGTTATAACTTTTTATTGAATCTAACCCATGAACTATGAACCTATTTCTTGAGATGGAATATTTACGTATTTCAAGGCAGTGTTTCTCAAGCTTTTGTTATCTGGTTAATATCCTCAAGATTCTCCCCCTATCTGTAGAGGATACCTACCATTGTTTGTTTTGTATTTTTCTTTAAATGGATCTTTTTTGCCATTAAAAAAAGGGCAGCAGGGGGGGTTCCAATAAGATGGTAGAATAGGCAGAAAGACTGCACAGACCCTCTTCAACAAAGAAAAGGGGACCAATTTACACAGATACAGAAGATAATCCTGGACCCCTGAGCCTTGAAAAGAAGGATATAGAAGTGGACTAAACTCCAATCAGCAGAAGAATTTGCATGAAAACACCAAAAAAAGAGACATATGGAGCTGTGGTCTGGCAGCGATCCTGAGTAATCCTGATGGCACAGACAGCTTGGAGAGTGCCGAGTGGTGGTAGGACCTAAGAATTAACTTAAAAATCAGCTCTGCTAGCCAGGGACTGCATGGAGGACTGATCTGGTCACTGGGGAATAAGAGGAAGCAGCAAAGAGGAAGGTGGGCTGAGCTGTGGACTTCTGTCTGTCTGGAGGGCGCAGACATTTTGAATGTTAACAAGCAACTTGACCATTTTGGATATTTAAAGTGACAGCATTGTCTCAGATTCCAGGGAATTAAGAACAGGGTCCACTTGCCGGAAACCCCAAGGACATTCTGGACCCAGACAACTGGAAAGGTGCTACATTCCCCTTGTTATTCTATACCCCATACCCTCTTGGTGAACAGAGGTGAAGCCATCCCTCATTCCCACACACTTTCTGGGCCGGCAGGAATTCCATCCTAATGTGGGCTGGGATGGAGCCTGGGTACTCTGCCCCACCTGTCTGTGTTTTCCTTTGTCTGTCTCTCAATTCCTGATTTTTTTTTTCTTCTTTCTGTTTTTCAGTTTGTTTGTTCTAAAACTACTACTATTATTAGTATTTTTGTCCTTTTTAATATTATTCTTTATTCTTCCCCTCTCAGGTTCTAGTTTTCAGTTTTATTTCTTATCTCTGTTCCTGGTTTCTTTTTTTTTTTTTTTCTTTCTCATGGTTAAACCTGTTCCTTATTTTTCTTTTCCATTTTTCCCATTTTTTTCTTCATTACTCCCCTTCTTTACCTTTTCCCCTTATTGCCCTCTCCCCATATATTGTGGTTATTTATTATTTATTTTTTCCTTTTTTCTTTTTTTTTGGTTAACATGGTGTATTTTTTTGTCCATTTACTTTTTATTTTTTGATGGTTATTCAATTGTTATTTTTGTCTAACTGAGTACAAGACAGCAATAGTTCCCATATGACACAACTACACCCAAACCTCATACAGCTTCACTTTCTGAGTGAGAGCCACCACCTTCTTCTCCACCAATGGGCCAATGATAAACAACCACAAGAAAACCCTGAATCACCCTTGGCTGCTCTTCACAAACAGTTAACAGAGATCTAAATACAACAAGGTCATGATGTCTTGGACAAAACAGACCACCACAGTCCACACAAAGAAGTAAGATAAAGTGGTAGAAACAAGTAACAGGACACAGACCCAGAGCACATCCCTGAAGAAGCAGCAGCATTGGAACTCTCTGATAAAGAATTCAAAAGAATTATATTTAGGTATCTTCAAAGGATTGAGAGACAGACCGAGGAAAACACAGACAAAACCTTAGAATAATTTTGGAGGACAATACAAGAACAAAATGACAAAATTAATGAAAAATTAGAAATGATTCTAAATCTACAGATAGAAATCCCTAA